GCGGCCAGGCTGTTCCCAGCTCACCCGCCTGCTCTGGGATCAACCCGTGAACGGCTCAAAGACAAACCGACCCACCATGGAGGTCGGGCAGCCCCCTGGCACAGCCCCACAGCACTCGGGGGACGCAGCCCTGCAGCAAGGGCTCTGCTGATGGCAGAGCTGGGGGAGCTCCATGTGCTCCCAGGACCCAGCCCTCTCTCGCGCCATGAAATACCTTCACCTGCCTAAAGGTCTTGTGAGCGTCCAACATCCTGCCCTGGGACACTGGAAACTTGCCCCAGGCCTTTCCCTCTTGCACAGACCCCTCCAGGCACCAGCCCCAGCCCAAGCCATGGCAGCAGGGCACGGTGCATCCCCTTCCCAAGGGATTGCTCCCAGCAGAGCTGCAGGCTGCGTTTAAGCAGGAGGGACAGCCCCATGGCGAGCAAGGGAAGAGCCACCCCGCCTGGCATAAAGCATCTCAGCTCCCTACACACCGAACAGGTTCAGCGCTTTCCTGCCCCTCGACCGCAGGCAACACGGACCGGACCAACCGCAAGCGCCACGGCCCCCGACCTGCGAGTGAGCTCCGGAGTTTGGGGGTTGTGACCAGACACAGACGAATCCCTCTGCATCAGGCAGGGTGATGCCCAGGATATCAGCACGAGACTTTGCTGTTTCCTCACTGCAGAGGAGAGGAGCAGCCCCGTGCCAAGGGATGTCGGTGGAAGAGGGGTGCCGAGGAGCTCCCTGCCACGCCAGGCTTTCGTGTCACACGCCTGGGAAGGGTGAGCAGCGAGCCTGAGCCCGAGCGCAGGGAGCGCGATGGGCTCCTCCGGAGCTCCCTGCAGCTGCTTCTGCGTTTGCTGAGCAGCAGGGAACTTCGAACCAGATAGGACTGAAGATGCAAATCAGACGGATGGTGTGTTTAACACCGAGAGCAGGGAACCCCCAGAGAGCCTGGGATCAGTTCCAGAGCTTCTGGCACACTTCTCCCTCTGATTTAACTGGTATTTCCCCACTGGAACACTTTTTTAAAAAAAAAAATATCTTACCTCATGGAACCATAAAAGCATTGTAAGGGCACATGGCTTTTGCATCCTGCAGATTTATGCAAAAATAAAATAAAAACGCTGTCCTACTCTGGTTGACCTTTAAGTGAGCAGCAGAACATGTTTTTTTATGGCATAACCTGAAAAGACACATTCTGTGTGTCTCAGGGAGGCGTGGGCACAGCTCCACATGTTCGGTGTAAAATACCGCTCTGCTTGCTGGGGGAGAGCTGTAAAACCAAGAGAGGATGAACGCACGTAACTGCCAGGCAATGCCCAAACCCTCTGCCTCAAAACCCCTTCCTCCTGAGCACTGAAATGCAGTTACAGGGGTGCAGGCGCCCTGAGGGGGGGCTGAGCAGCACAGCAAAGAGAGGCAGAACCCGGGAAGGAGGCAGAGGGTCCAGTCCC